TACATACATTTTGTATGTAGGAAACTTTTCGACACACTACAGATACACAGATATACAGACATACAGATATACAGATATACAGATATACAGATACACATATAAACAAATAAATTAAAATGTATGCTAAAATCTGAAACTTCCCTCCCCATGCCATAATGAATGTCCAAAGACTGTATTGTATCACAATTAAGGTCTAGCCAAGTAGAGGCATCTTCGTTGCAAGAAGTTACCATATTTGGCATATTTTTTTCCAGGCACCAGTAGGAGATGAGGAGCAAAAAACATCTGAATTTATTGAAGATGCAGCTGATGTGGATGACAGAATGCTTGCTCTACGTGCACAACAAGGTACTTTGATCCATTTTGTAATTTTAGAACTCTTTTATAATTGTAAAAGATAATATAGTTACTATGTTTTTGAACTTCTTTGGTATAGTACATCAAACATTTTGGTTGTACTTATTTTCACTTTCATCACGTAAATGAAAATAATTGGAAGATTTGAAGGATTTTTCAAGGCATTCCACAACAATCTATGGAATAGTTTTCCCGGTGATGCTATGCAAACTCGTGAATTGAGTTTCATCAAAACCTACTTAATTGTAGTGGCTGTGTAAATTGGAGATTAAAGACGATTTAAAAAAACCTAAACCAGTAATTCCTAGTTCTTTGTGTTACAGAGGAGTTGGAGCGAAGACGACGATCTCAAGCTGTGCAGCGGGACTTGCCACGCCCTTCCAATACCAACACTTCTGTTCTTAGACCCTCTAATGTTGATCCACCTCTTAATACTTTACAAGTGGTAAGGGATCATGTTCTTGAGAATTATTTTATATTTTGGTCAGGACGACTATCACCAGCATTAAAGTTCAGTACCAGGCTGCAAATCGGGGGGGTGAACAAGTTAAATTTAAAACTTTTCCAGGAGGCCTTTTCTGAGTTAAAAAATTAAGTCGTATTTTGATCTACAATACATTTAAGGCATGGCGAAAAAAAGATGTTTGTACCCAAGGAATTCTCAAATGAAACTGCATTTTTACAACAACCTGCATCTTTCCTTGATTCTTTTGATACCTATAACAGAAATTACAGCTATGTGCGAGTGTGAGCATACTCAGTACTAGACATCATCCCACATCGAACAGCGAAGTTCCAGCTCCTGTTATGAATAGCTATTCAAACCTTTATTAGATAAGAAATTTGTGTTTGTATAAAGTTCGAAAGTAAGTTTTGCGTAACCTTTATATAGAGATGACATTAGACCGTTGATTGATGAACCTTTAATTATCGATCTGCTAACATTTGCATATTCAGACCCCTCACACATGAGTTAAAAAGGGGTTATGCCTGGGCGCTCCTAGTCAATTCAACTATGAGTTTGCAACATTTGCCACCAGATAGCCTCCAATGAGCATAATTCTGGATCCACTGTTGACCATAAGTCATTGTTGTCATTGTCCTTATTTTCATGAGCATTTTTCAGTGTAATTATCAGATCATAGTTTTCCAGAGTCAAAATTTCTGTTACTCTTTCATCTCTTTAATCATTATGATGTATTTTTTAACGCTAATCTTAGGCAGAGGAATTAATCAAGAAAGAGATGATAGCAATGCTACGCAACGACATCGTCAACCACCCAACAAGCCAACAGATAGAAGCTCTGACCAACAAGAAAACAAAAAACACAGCACAGAGTGTCATCACTGCAAACAGAGCCAAACTGGAACGAGAACCGCTAGATAACTTCACAGATGAAGAGATGGCCAATGCTAAAGCCTTGCTGGCAAACGAGATGGACATGGTGAAGCAGAAAATGTCTCATGGTGATTTGCCCTTGGATGCTTACTCCAAAGTATGGGAAGAATGCTACAATCAGGTAATAATGATGATGCTGATGCTGGTGATGATGATGATTCACATTTGGATATGATCAAGGAATGTGCCCAAGGAATTGCGTTACCTTCCCCCTCCCCTACCCCCAGGGTGAGCTAGAAGTTGAATAATACAAATCGATCTTTCTGAAGGTCAAAATGCATGCGTTTCAGGAATTTATATTCATCAAAGAAAACGAAAGCCCGAATAAACTTATGTGTACTTCATATTTATTTGTAATAGTATTTGTTGCCAATGTACCTTTAAAATACATCATGATCAGAATCGGATCATCTTGCATCTCGAAGGAAGCCATGGTCAAGCGCGTAATATTTCCTTAACATATTAACTGACTAGTTTATTTTTTAGTTCTGATCTTGGATCACAGAAAATACTGCTTTGGCTAGCTGAATCAAAGCATGAATAGTTAACCAAAATGATCTAATGGCCATGAAGTTTGAAAATGTTTAGAAATCCTTGCTTATTAGAAATCCTCGCTATCTTTCTCGCTAGAAAATCGAATTTATCTAGTAGGGAGCTATGGGTCACATGTTTTATCCCGTGACATTTATGGGGAGGCCTAGAAGATATACCACATTTGAATAATAAAGGCGGGGGCTAGCAAAACCTTATACCTTTCACGTTAAGACAGACCAATCTTTGCTCATGACAGCATGACATAAAGCCCTGTTTTCCTTCAATGTTATACTGATGGATATTCGCTTCTTCGCGCAGAAAATGTCGCTTCGTTGGTACATTGGGCCATGGCATTTGGAATTTCTTTACTGATAAATAATGAATCCTGGTTTACTGATTTCTAACTTAGCTCGGTCTTGAAATACAACAGTAAATGAACATGCGTAGACATTAATCACGTCATAACGTGGCTCCTCCCTCTCTCGAACATTTGAATACTAATTGATCGGGAACCCTTTGGCAAATGCTCGTATATGTCTCTTGGATGAAGCGCTGAGGCCACTGGGTAGTATTGCGCAATTTGATCATTTTTTCGAGCAGAAAGTAAAACAAGAGAATAGTGGAATACAGGTATCCCAGTAATAACACTTACGTAGGCGCCAGATAAGCATAATTTACTGCTGGTGTTATTACATGGATCAAGCCCAAAAGACATTTTGCGACACTAACTCAAAATGTCCTGAATCTCAACAGGTTTTGTTTTTGCCATCACAACAAAGATACACACGAGCTGCTATGGCTAGCAAGAAAGATCGACTGGAATCATTAGAAAAACGCTTAGAGGTTAGATATTATAGTTTGCTGTTTGTCTAGGAAGAAGGGTGGGTGCTTGCCCTACGGTGAGCTATTGATGGTTCTTAATTATTAATTCTGGTTAAAAAGTTCTTTGAGGTTTCATCATATTTCATCCCAATCTGTTCAAGATTTAACTCCACTGAACCTGACTTTTCTTTATATGAGACACCTTTTTGAAGTTCATTACAGAATATGCTAATGTCTTCATGCTCGACATAACGAATCCTGCTGGAATTTTTTTGTGGCAATACTTAAGACAATTCTTTATTTATTAGCTTTCAGAAAATATCGCGATTTAGAGGTTACGTATTTCGCAACACTTTAATTTCGCGTATTTGCGAAGAAACGCCTTTCTAAGTCACATTAATTTTGCTTATTCCATAGAATGAGTCATACATTGTCAGTTTTAATTCAAACAAACAGTTTCATTGAACAAAACAACTTTATTAACTAACAGTAACAACAACGAGAAATAGTTCCTATTGTTTAGACATGTTCAGTTCTGGTACTTATTACTCAGTTGACGGCCTTATTAAATAAAACTAACAACAGGAATGATAAATAGGTCGTGTGTTTTTCTTAAATTTAAAATATTTATTTAAATGTGCATTATAGGTGGTCCTATACGCGCTATACCTCAAATTTTGCACGGACAAAATTCGCGAAAGTGTCGCGAAAATCTCATGTTATAAGGTACTTTTGTGGCAAAATCTTGTAAAGTCCGTGCAAAATTTGAGGTATAGCGCGTATTGCTTACTATCAATCACGTGACTTTTTTGGACTTGACTGGGGGGCAACTAGCGGAGGGCTAAGTCAAAACATATCAAAATAATTCCTCAAACTATTGTATTTGACTATTTTCACGACATCAAACCACAAAACAAGAGATCAAAACAACCTCCAGGATTCTACAAGCCATCAAAAAAAGCTTTTACGTCTATTGATAGCAACCTATAGGGGTCCAAATACCCTGTCCAAAAAAAGCCCGTATTGATACCTTAACATTAACCGACTATCTTGCTTTTTCCCCTTCCAGTTAAATCRCTTCCAGATGACAGAAGAAGCCAAACGAGCTGCAAAAGTAGAAAAGAAACTCAAAGTACTCCTTGGTGGTTACCAGGTAACGACGAATGTATGGTTTTGTGTCCTCTTAGTAACCGTTTCTATGGGGATCGGGTATTCATCGAGTTATGCGCTTCGAGTTACGCGTATTTCGAGTTACGCGCATTTCGAGTTACGCGCTCGACCACACCGAAATGTCTCACAAGCTCAATATTTTAGCTAACATATCCGGATTTAAAACCCTAATGGTTGAAAACTGATTGGATAATCGGATAATAAGTGCTGCTAATCGTTGTAACTTTAGGGAGATCCGGCTTCAAAACAGGAATTTTTTGAGTTGTCTCGTTAACGCTAGGTTTGTTCCTTATTTCAGACGCGAGCTGTCGGACTAGCTAAACAGATATCAGACGCGCATGAGCAGTTGGAACAGACCCACGTCGAGATGAAAACATTCCAGGCATTACGAGAACAGGAGCTGACAGCCATTCCAAAAAGATTAGAGGTAAGTTATCGGTTTCATTTTAATAGAGCCTTTAGCGTAGGATTTCCAGAGAGTTGCTCTTCGTTCACTGCATTGTGCGGAGATCATGCGTCCAGACTGAATTAGATACGAGTTGTAACCCTCATAAGGCGCACTTTTTTGGAGATAAAAATGAGTGTCTTGAAAAGGAAAATTCTGAGGTTGTTTAGGATTCCTAAAAGGATATTTAAAAAATACGTCACTTCTTGCGTGCTTTATTACTGAGCAGAGCACGGAAAAAGCTTTTTTATATGTTAAACAGTAACGACAACGAGAAATAGTTCGCATTAATTAGACATGTTCAGTTCTGGTACTAATCTTTCAGTTTATGGCCTTATTTAAAGTAACAGTAACAACAAAAACGAGAAATAGTTCGTGTATTTTCATGTCTAATTATGACATTTAATATTCATTTAAATATGCTTTTTTGAAAATCGCGATCTTAAGGTGTGGCGAAAATTTCATGTAATAAGGTATTTCTGATTAGTTTTTTTTTATAAGATACAAGTTGTAACGCTTACAAATTTGACTATAAGGCTTGATTTATTGGAGATTGGTTGTTTGAATGATATATGTAGTCTTAATTCACTGACTTATAGTATATTTGTTTTCTCTTCATTTCCTCATTCTTCTAGTCCCTAAGAGAGGATGTCCAAAGACAAACAGAGCGTGAACGGCAACTACAAGCCAGTTACGCACAGCTGTTATATGAACGCGATAACCTGATGTCAAAACTACAGATCGCACAATAGTACCCTGTTAGACCAAATGTCACACCCGATACCAGAAGAAACACATGGAATGTTGGCCTGTTGTCTTTTATTATTATTATTATTTGAAGGACAAAAAAAAGATTTTGATCTAAATGATTAATAATTTGATATAAACATTGTGTTGGGGAAAGAAATTGCAAATCAGGATAGTCCGACGAAGCTTGATTCCAAAAGAACAAATCATTGTACTGATGACTCCTTGAGGGCGAGTGAAAACGTTTGCCTCCGTTTGTATTACCAAACTCATCTGTGTGCAGCCTCTTGCCCTAATGTTGGGACGAGAGAGAGGGCTGAACATTTCTACTAAATTCAATTAGACCCTTTGGCAAAATGGCGACCGCAAATTGCCCTATTTCATAATGACGTCACAGCTTGTTTACATGGGGGACAGAATCACCGAAAATAATGAGAATTTCGACAAAATCTTCTTTCTCTCCGAAAGTTTGGCTTCAAATTGTCCAGCTGTATGTTATGTGTCAAGGTTTATCCTTCGATATTAATAGCATTTTGTTAATCCTTCCTTCTCTGTTTTGTAAATGCAATTTATTGTGTTTTTTCCTTTGTATTTTTGTCATTCTGTCCCCCTCTGGCGACCATAATCCTTAGCGTTAAAACAATAGAATGTTTTGATGTGACAGTAATGATAAAAAGGTAAATTATACACTGTGAAAAGATGAAAAAACTCACTAAAACAACTTACGAACAGTGTTTTGATGTGACGTCACTATGAATAAATGAAACTTCATCAGTCGGTTCCTTTCATATTTTTGTCTGGTGGCAGCGATAAACGAAATTTCAGCGTGTAGCTTGCAGACAGGGTTCGCATGTTTATGAAAATTGCAGTAAGACAATTTCCGGTATTATAGTACACTCTACAAAATGACTCGATTCTGATTGAACAAGAGGAGTACAATTAAATCCCTAATTGTACTCTGTGGAGTCCTGATTAAGTTGCTCATTTTATTTTTGTGTATTATAAACAAAAAATCGCACAAAACATCACTCTTACCTATGAATACCGAATCATATACTCGAGATTGTGCGATTTCCTATAAAAACATATTCTCTACTTTCACATACCCATAATGCCTTGCGTCTTTGGGGGGTAACCAATCAAAAAACTGTCCCAAATTGAAAGGTTTCTTAATTGAATTTATACTATACCTGCTTTTATCTGTACAATACTGATTATCAGTTTGTTCCAAGTTATCTTTGCGTGTACAGATCATCAAGAGTTTTGGTCTTACAGAAAATGTATTGACTTACGAAAAAAGTTTTAAAATTTACCTTAAACGTCTTGCTTCTATCTTCTTCTGTTTACTTCTTCATTTTAATTTTGGATACCAAACAAGGTATTGTCAACATTGTCTGAACAGCCTTCAGCAAAATAAGTGGGGTTTTACCCCCTGGTTACCCCACAAAGACGCAAAATATTTTATTTGTGTTGATTGCTAAATCAATACAGAAAGTCGTCGATATAAGAATATTTTGACCTTTTTACCCGTCATCTATCCGTCTTCAAACTCGCCACCATTGTTGAAAATCAGAGAGCTGGAATGTGACGTCACGAATGGAAATAAAATTGTTCCAGCCATTTGCGTAGATACGCACCCTTTTTCCTGTAGGAGCCCAGTACTGATGGACACTGTTATTTTCTCTCATGAAAGAAAGTTTTGTTGAGAATGACCCTTATTCAGTTCCTCTTTTTCGACACCCTTTTTGCCATGATTGACGTGGATAAAGTTGTTATTAATCAATAAATCAATCAATCAAAAAGAAGAAAAATATCTTTTTTCCGAAAATTTTTCAATCAGCAGGAAGCGGAATATTTTTAGCCAATCATAATGCTTGTTGTATCTCAGTTTCCAGTCTCCTGCCAAATGACTTCAAAGTTTATAAATAGATCTGGTTCAAGATGATTTGACTCGAAGTTCTTCAAAGCGGGCAAAAACGAGTTAAATGTTATAAATATGGTTAATAGGTTTTTTGAAGGGATTCAGTTCGTCCTGGATTCTTCCAGCTTCACGTATGTCCCGTTTAAGAAGAAGCAAGAACTTCGTAAACAAATTACCGACAATGGTGGAATCATCTCGTACATCTTGACCAAGAAGGTAAAATTATATATATCGCAAACTCGCTGAAACTTTACTCCTAAAAACACCAAAGGAAGCTAAATCTCCGTTATCAAGAGCTTTTTAGTGTTGCTGGTATTTTTAATTCAGGATTTCCAGAAGTTTAGTTGTGATTCATCAATTCATCATAGATTTCATCATATCAAGCTTAAAATATTATAGCTACTCTTGCTGACTCTCGTATAAGGAAATTATAAATCTTTGCCCTTGGACCCGGTCTTGAATCATGCTATTGGGCATTTTTCTTCATGCTTTAGCATTTAGAGATTTTTGAAGTAGACATATCAATAAAGTACTCATATAAATAGTACTTTAAAATGCACAATTTCGGGTAAAATAAATCAAGCTTTATGCACTAGTCAATTAAAACCCCCACCCCGGGGGGCGGGAGGGGGTGGGGAGGGGGTACTCCCACATATGGACTATACACGGGGATGATCCGCTGAACAGGGTATGGTTTTTTGAGCTTCTTTTCATAAACAGGGTATGCAATTTCACTCAAGTTCCAAGTTCTTCCTGAGTTTCCTGTCATATTCATGGATTCTACTTTTGTATTGACCGAAACTGGTTATTATGGTCGTAAAAAAACGAACTCAGTGCAATAAATTATATCTTTTGTCATAAACAGGGTCCACAAATTTGAGTTTTTTTTATCATAAACAGGGTACCACTTTCAGAATCCCAGCAGAACAACCCTTTACCCAAATTCTGGCGGAGTCCCCCACCCTCCGACCCCCAGGAAATACCGGGGAATTTAACATTTGAGTGGCGTTAAAATCAGACATTTTCCCCAGGGGGCACATTCACTGTTAACCCCCCCTCCCCCCTATTGTGGCCCTGTTATTTTGGTTTAGTAGTCAACAAGAAACACATTTCATGCCAACTACAAATTCTTGTCCTACACAGAGCCAATTGTTGTGTGTTCCATGCTCTAAACATTCAATGCTCAATATTTTCATGGGCTCTGAACCTCAAATCGTGCGAAAACGTTTAGGTTAACGTCTAGTCAGCTGAGAATTTAATGGTATTAAATTGAAAATGAACATTGCTAGTAAATATTGCCACTAGACCCATTAAAATTTGACCAACACTTTTTAGTTTTTAGATATACGAAAATGGGAAAATATCATAGATCTTAACTTTGAAAATTGGTAAATTCTTTCATTAAAACTATTTTGACTCACCTTAATTTTTCCATTCTAGCGATTCTAGGAAAGGAATGTTTAATATTGAAAAAAAAAACAGGCCAACAGCTGCGCGTGCTTGGAATCACAACACCTTCTGGGTATTTTTCAAGATGGCAGACCTCTTGTTTCCAGGCCCTTACATATTCAAATGAGCGTTAAAATCCCCTCTCGATTCCCCACTGAGAAAACCATTTGTTAAATCTCCCCCCTTCCCCCTGGTTCAATCATGCTGTTGAAAGCACATCAAAAATGTGTCACTTCCCCGTTCAGTGCCCCACTAACCCCAGGGTCAGGGGGTGGGGGTTTCGATTATTGACTAGTGCATTATTCCAAACGAGATCTAAAAAATTTGGTTAATCTTTTATTGACCCAAAGAATTCAGTTACAGTAAACACATGAGACTGAAGCAAACAACAATGAGTTTCACTTTGCCTGAAACAATCATCAGTGTGCGGTGAAAAGTAATTATTATAATAATAATAATAATAATAATAATAATATAACAATAATAATAAATAATCCCAAAACTGCAAATATTAAGTTAGGGGTGTAGGGCAACTTTATATTTAGGTGGGTTGACATTTTACAAACATCTTATTAGTAGTGCTTTTTAATGTTAAGGTAGTTTTGGCTGTAATCTTTCAATCTCATACCCAGAACCTACATTCATCTTGATCAGCACCAAGGAATGAGAGGCTCTGACAGCAGCTGATTTTTTGAGCCATCCATTCTGATTGGTCCAGGAAAAAGCAATAGAAAGATTCTTTCATGAAATAAAATGGCTTACTGACACGAAAAATGGTGTTTTTTTTCAAACACTATTTTTGCTTGGATTGCACTCGGGATTTGCTCAAAATGACAGCCCATCTCTCTGTCATTTGTGGTGATATTTAAACCTCAAAAAACATGTTCAAAACTAATGAAATAGCACATAGAATCACACAGAGGACAAAGATCAAACCCAAACAATGGCTAGCTATATGCAGTTCAAACTTTGGTCCGTCACAGCCGGTGCCTTTCCTTTCTCAGTGCTGTTGACCAAGAGGAACCTGGGCTCTGGGTATGAGATTTTGTACATTTTGCTATTGAAATATTTCAACATTTTGCTGGGTTTGTTATAACGGAAGTCATAAACGGATGTCATAATATTTTCAGATAAGAAAGAGAATTTATGTTTGGTAAGGACTTACACCATGTACATAAATTTTCTTATGTTCGCAACCTCCCCATCTCCCTTAAAAATATGTTCTGCAATCCCTCTTATTAGGAGTTGTATACATTCCCCTACCCCTCCCCACTTATTTCTTTTTGTATTCTTTTTCTTCTAGTCAAACTTTGTATTAACAGCAGATGGAGAGAAGACTCTATCATCTTACAAAGGGAGTACAGCCATGAAGTATGGGGTCCCTGTGGTACATGTGGACTTTATTGCTGACTGTGTTTTTGCAGGAATGTACCTCGACCCAACCCCTCATGTGGTTGGTAATAGTGTCCAGGAAAAGGAATTCAGTTCTGGAAAAATTTCAGCTGGTAATTGTTTTAATACTTCATTTAATGGTCATTTAACAGTAATAGCCCTGGCCTTGGTGCATTGTTTTCCCATATTAGACCACATGTCATTCCCAGGAGTGTCATGAGAAGACGCATGAATATGGATATGACTCAAACAAAAAAWATTCTTTCCAAAAGAATGACAACAGTCTGAAATGGAAAACCATTATGTTCAAGGTAGAAAGGGAGGAGGATGGATGGATGGAAGAAAGAGGGGGTGTTAAGTACTTGTCTTGCAACACCCTGTATTGCTAGCTCCCATCCTCACCCTTCCCCCTCAGGTGCATGCACATATGCATTATAAATGTACAGGTATATATATTCAACATTTTCTTTGTTAGACTGCTAAAGGTTTTTATTATTCAATTATAATTTTGGCATTTATTATTTTAGGTAAGAAAGCAAATCAGTTTTTAGATAACAAGCAAAAACAAGGAAATAAAATCATCAAGGTTGATTTGAACAATATAAGGTAAAAATAAATTTGTGAAATTTTTAAATTTGTTGATATTTCTTTTCCATGAGAAGGGAAATGAGATTGTCAAAAGAAGCTAAATCACTGATAAATATTATAATATCTATTATAAATGTAAAAGGAATTAGCTTGTGCTGCCACCTCTATGGAAGGAATGACCAGCATCAACATCAGGATTAGTTTGGGAAATCTCACGATCTCAAGTACAGTTGAATCCTGGTAACTTGAACCTCCAATAGAAATGAAAAAAGTTTGAACAAATTACCATGTTTTGCTTAATAAATATTCATTTTTATTCAAACATAATGCATTTTAATACGTTACAGAGAAAGGTTAAAAACAAACAATATTTATGGTATTCATTTGGCTAGGTACACAGGACTAATCAGCAAAGCCTGTTAAAAACTAGCTCAATTATGTATTTTCTGGGTGTGTACAAAGACAGTATTCTCATGGGAATGAACTAACACGTTTTCTGTTTGGCAAGTTACTGTAAATTATATAAAGAATGACCTGAAGAGAAACAAAAAACTCTTAGAGTTAAGTATGAGTTCAAGTTATTGAGGGCTTGAGCTACCGAGGGTAAAATTACTACAGTTAAGGGTATGGCGTTATTGTTCCCATTGCAACTTAACAGGTACTCCAACAGAGTATAGTGTTAACAATTAATTTTACTCCTCTAGTGTACTGTAAATCTTGCAACATACATGTTGTAGGTAAAGGAGCTGGCCATCTTTGATATTCATAGATTGCATAGATGTAAGAAGCAAAAAATTGACTGCAGCTAGCTGGTGCTGTTACAGTAAAATTGCATTAGATTACAACTTTATAATCTATCTGGTTTATTTGGATTGGTTGCTGATGAGATAGTGACATCAGTCAATCTCTGTATTGTCATTTTTCAATCACAAATACTGTATAAAAGGTGTTCTTCTTATAACTGTTTCCATAGCATGTGGGTGTATAAGGATCCAAATGGACCTTACTTTCCTGAGAAAGCTTACAAGATTGCAAAAGACATGATATTGAAAGTAAGTGGTATTTAATTGCAAATCAACTGAAAACATAAGCAAGAGCAGATCCAGATTTTTTCTAGGAGGGATGGTGTGCCTTTGGCTTACAAACTCAAACACTAATAATGCAGTAGGTATCAGGTGATCTAAGGGGGGTTGCACTCCCCCTCCACCCCTCCCCTAGATCCACCCCTGCTAAGAAGGTAATTTATAGTTTACTTGATTAGTATTTTGGCTTAATTCTGCCAATCATTAATTTCCAGTGACATGATCAGTAATAACAATATTTGTGTGATGGAAGCTGAGACATAACTAACAATTAACATTAAAAAAGCTCTAGATTATTTTGAGGCTAAAATGTCGACATTTTGTGTAGAAAACTGATGCCAATGGTGTAATTACGCAATTCTTTGCCATTGAGCTTCATGTTGTTCCATCAAGTTTCCCATGTGAAAGCCCAAGGTACCGGATATTCACCCATCACGGCAGTCTAAACCTACTGAAGGTAGGTTTCCTACATAAATACTACTAGACAGTCACAATATTAGGTATTTAGTATTAATAATGGAAGTTAGGCTTCAGGGATACTCTTTAAATGTCTTTGGTTGTCAGCAACTTGTTGATTAACCATTCTTGTTGAATAGACCTATCTTCCTATGCAAATTGCCCATTTCAGATCACATGACATTACCTTGAGAATTGTTCTTTTATGACGAACAAATGTTAAAATATTTACACCTGAAAGAATTAACTTGCATCACGTGGTCTGAAATGTGCACAACAAACAACATGGTAAAGAGGTCTATTAAGTTTAGAATGAAAGGATGTGGTGGTGTGGTATGAAAGGATGGGGTTGGGGATAAGAGGATGCGGTGGGGATGAGAGGATGGGGTTGGCTATGAGAGGATGTGGTGGGGGATGAGAGGATGGGGNGGGGGGGGATGTGAGGATGGGGTGGAGGACGAGATGATGGGGGTGGGGGAGGAGATGATGGGGTGGAGGATAAGAGGATGGGTCGTGGGATGAGAGGGTGTAGGATGTGAGGAACAAATACCCTCAAGAGCACAAGCACAAGAAAATGACCAAACAGTTTCTGGTCATGATTACAGGCCGAATTAGTTTTAGCTCATTAACTAGTCACATCTCATTTCTGGCTAAACGTTATTGGTTAAAATGACCCTGGCAATGCAAAGATTTGACCGGACAAGTCCCAGTTCTGGCTTGACATTGTCTGAGGTCATTTTAAAGTGCCACTATGATGAAATTTTAATGTCTCCAATTTGTAATATTTAAACACTGTTTACTGTTTACTGTAAGTATTAAGTTTGTGCTAATTAGGAGTTTGATGACATCATATTCTCAACTTGCAGTTTACTTCAACATAGATCTCTGACAGAGAGTATTTGATAAATGTCATTTAAACTTTCCATTTTGCTTGAATTCAATATTTGGAACATGAAAATGCACAAACTATTGTTGCTATGGTAACAGACTAGTTTCCAGTCTGGTGTCCAGCTTTTCACACTCTTCTGAGAGACCTTGAGCCAATTACAATCTAAAGAGTCCATTTATATTGTCATAGTAACAATATATTTTATTATTTTAATATATAGCAATCTTAATAATATTTTTTATTATATAACACTTAAATATTTTGTATTAGTATTTTTCAAATTCATTGACAAGAGTACTGTCTCTTATTATGATTATTTTATTGCCTGTAATGCGCATTCGATCATTTTCATGTATTTTGCACAATATAAGCTATTAAATTATGACTAATTATTACAAAATCCAAATACACAATACTTTTGACATTCATCTTTTGGTTCTTCATGTTAGGGGGCATGGCCAAAGGCTTTCTCCATTAATTCTCACTGGCTATTTTTACTCCCTCCACAATACTTTACATGCTAAATTTCAATTTGTAATATTATATGCTGCTGTAAGTTAGTTGAGTGTATAAACATTTCATGATCTATACACATTCTTTGTTTATTTGAAGCGTAATGACAAAGATGACCATATCTTCAAGGAATGCTACTACTCTTATACTGCTGAGGAGGCCATGGGGATATATATGGCTTTACATGACAAAATCAGCAGCCCCCCCTACAGCTTTGAAAGGGAGTGGTCACGCTTGTCCTACAAAATTGGTTCAGACAAGATGAAGGAAGTAAGTATAAACTCTTTCATGTACTATTTAACAAATCGCTCATAGATTTCCATTGTCTGGGTTTGTTTCCCACCAAGGGCATTTGATATTTTTCTCTTATTCTCTCTATTTCATTACACATACTGAATGCATCATTTATTACTATTATACTATCCTTTGTGTACATATTTACGGTGTTCAACTTACCTATAGAGAAAAAATATCGCTCTGGGATCCTCACGAGTACCCTACATTTCATATTCTGGCCGTATTACCAGAGTGGTTGGTCCTTGTTGTATAGTGGTTAACACTTCAGACTAGAATACCAAAGACATGGGTTCGATTCCCGCCAAGGGCATTTGATATTTTTCTCTTATTCTCTCAATAAACTGATAGCCATGGATTTATTGTACCAGGAAGACAGTTGCTATGATCTTAATGTGTTCAGCAATATTGCTTTATATATTTACAGCAATGCATAGAGGTACAGGAAACCAATGATGGTGTTCCACCAATCCTAGAGGTGACCAGTTTAGTTGACTACCTCTGGAAAGAGGCTGTAGGGTGTCTATCAGAAACTTTGGCTGTACCTGTTGAAAGCTTGAAACTACAGACAGTACAAGAAGCAGAAGCAGTGCTGGTGTCAATGAAGGAATGTTTGGATAGGAATAATCATGATGGACAAGAAATGAGGGAACTGTGGAAGGAGTTTTGTCATCTCATACCACATGAAGAGGAAGAGGTTGTCTTTGAGAAAAGCTTGATTGCTGAAAAACAGAACCTGTGTCAGGTATGGATGATTGGGCGGTAGATGGATGAGTGGATGAATGGAAACATGTATATATGAATGAATGGGTAATATATAAATAGATGGATGGATGGATGGATTTGATTTTGCAGGTACTTGTTGTATGACAATGTGAGACTTTCACAGGCTCTAGCTAAGTGAAATTCTAAAATTGAATTTGAAAAGAAAGAAAGAAAGAATGAAATACTGATAAATAAAAATTGTAAATTAGTATTTAAAAAAATTGAAATTCAAAATTAAGGCATCTAACCTGGTGAAAGTCCAGAAATTATATTTAAGATGGATTATATCATACATTGAAAATGAAGTGAGAAAAAATATAATTGTTAAATTGCATACCAGGCAATAACAAAAATAATTCTTATTAATATTTATTTTTGATCTCTGTATATATAGCTGATAAGAGATATTGTGACAGTCAGTGAATCAACCAACATGTCTAAAATCAGCAGCCAGATTGCTAAGTACAGAGCCTTACGGTGCCATATTGAACACTTGGATGAGGGAGAGGAGGAGTTTGTGAAGATTAAAGAGTCTGTGATGTCAAGCCTGACTGATGGGTAAGGTTTGAAAGATGAAATATAAAAAGGAGTAATTTATGAATTTATGAGACTTCATAAGAGTGGGAAAGGATACTAAACTATAGGTACATATGGTATTCATGTCAGTATCCAGTCAAACACCCAAAGTCAACTAACATGAATGAGTTGATAATTGGACAAGTGGACTGTAAACTGCAGGCCCGTAGCTAGGGTGGGTGCAGGGGGTGTGTTCGCACCCCCCCCCCCCCCCCCCCCCCTAAACGGCCTCTTTTTAAGCAAGTGAGATTTTGGCTGGTATGATATTTTCACGTAAAACCAAGTAAAAAAAATCAATTTTACTTTAATAATTTATCTATACCTATGCATCCTATGGGACTTTTAAAAAATAAAGTAATACATGGTTGGTCCACTTTTTGTAAATTAGCACCCCCCCAACAAAAATCCTAGCTACGGGCCTGAAACCAGTATGATATTCATCTTTTATGAGATAGCAAACATAGTAAGCATGGCTAAGGAAAGACATTTTAGCTATCCTTTTAAAACCAAATGGGATCTTTGTTATTGCAATAACCCAGTGCAGTGTCAGATGTGAGTATGATGGGTCAAAATTGCAGCTTCACATTATTGTCTAGCTTTTGATGTGGAAACCTGAACATAATCGCGATACTTTTAACCAACATCAATATAAATAAATGTTTTTAAATCCAACTTTACCACTTTGAGGTGGGTGGAAAGCCTTACAGGTCTGCAGCCCAATTACAAGGCAACCAATAGATCAAATTAGAATGTGGAAGCTGATTTTTGTTGAGGGAGAAAAACAAGAGAACCTGGAGAAAAACCCTTGAAGGAATCCTGAGAGAACCAACAAACCACTCAAGTCACATACTACACCGAGCCAGGTGGGGCTCCAACCCAGGTCTCATTGGCGAGAGGCGTGCAAACTTACCATTACAGCACCAGTGCTTCCCATAGATTATGCCTGTATTTACCAATTTAGTAGTTTACCAATTTTTTGATGAGTAGACTAATGCTTGCTGCCCATGAAATGTTTCCTTGGACAATATTATCAATATTAGTTGCAGTGCAAGTGAATCTGTTTCATCTGTGGAAAAAACAAACTTTATTAACTTTTTAAATTTTTTTCCAGCTCAATCAGAGTTTTGAATATTTTTTCCCTTGATCGCCCAGTGGAAGAAAGTAACTTCACCCATCACCTTGACAACAAGAAACTTCTTTATCATGCATCAAGAGTAAGGAATTGAATTGAGAGATTATGCATTCATTAATGTAATTGTCTTCTGGCTGTCCCACTATTTTTGACATATATTAGTTATTATGTATATGTATAAGAAGATGTAACTAGCTAAAAACTAGTGTGAGCTGCGTCAGTGTTTTTAATAAAACAGTAATGATGAAAAGGTAAATTATACACCGTGAAAAAGATGAAAAAACTTACTGACATTTCGGACACTAGTCCTTCGTCGGAGTAAAAGAGGGATATGAGCGCTCTGAGGAATTAGTGGATTTAGCGCTATATAAATAAATATTATTATTATTATTATATGTAAACTATACTCGTTCCCAATATGGCACACTCTCACTCACACACACTACCACTACATTCATTATTTTTATGGCTACAACTCTCAACTCACTTGCTGATTTTCATTGAGTAAGGAGAATCTGGAGAAACCCCTTGTGGGAAGAAGAGAACTTTTTGCATTCACAGTCAAACAACTATTTTATCACTACACCATTTCCCTTTTGACCAATTATGTTCATAAGTTGTTATACAGTTGACCCTCAGTTGACTTTAAACATAAAAATTATGTTTTTCAGGTCAGTAATTTTGTGGGAATCCTTTCAAGGTAAGTAGCTTCTGTTCTAGTTCTTTAAAGTGTTGTTTTGAATGTATAATATCATGAGACTGTGTTTTTTTTCTCATAGAGGTCTTCTCCTTCCCAAGATTGTTGTAGATGATTTTGGTGGCAAAAGATCAGATCCAGGAATGCTTGGGAGTGGTATCTACTTTGGAAGTTCAGCAAGGTACCATTTTATGCTTAAATACCACTGTAATTGTTGATGATGATGATGAAACTGAAAAGATTGAAAATAATGGGGGTGATGATGATGGTGATTGTGGTAATTGATGATAGTAAAGATGATGATGATAGTAATGATGGTGATGATGATAGTGTTCAGGATTATTTAATGATGATGGTGGTGGTAATGCTGTATTTATGAAAGTATTTGATGAGTTATACAAAAATTATTATATAATGATATGACCATTGATAATCTGATCAATAGAGGCTTTGCACCGTGATGGCAGCCATGACAGGGGGCACAACAATGGAGTCGTACTCCCCTGGGAAACAGAATTCTTTCTGATGTAAATTTGATTAGACCAGATTCAATTGTTCCTGCCTCCTGTCATGGCTGTGCTATCACATGATTGGTGCAAATTAGCTTCTATAAGTATTCAGTCAAGACTTTCAGGTTAAGACTTTCAGATATATATAAGCACCATGATGACATTTGCTTAAACACCTTTAACAGCATTAGAGAAGAGGATAAGCGTAAACTCAGAAAGCTTTTGCCGCCAGCGTTTGACTCGTGTTACAAGCTGAGACATGCCCCCCTGGGGGGGGGGTACTCTTGCCCGTTTAGGGCAGGGATGTGCCGCTGAGCCTTCTGAACCCTGACCTTGTTCCAGAGTAAAATCGCTGAAATTCATACCCTGTTCCAGAGCAAGACTGCTGAAAATCATACCCTGTTCCGGTATTGCGAAAATAGATACCCTGTTCCAGAGCGAGTGCCATTTTATATACCTTGTTCCAGAGTAGAATCCCTGAAAACCATACCCTGTTTGGCCGCATGTACCCATATAGCAATGTATTTTAGTAGGCTATCTATCTAGTTCATAAAGGTCTTATGGCTTTATATATGGTATCTTTCAGCACCAGTGCAAAGTACTCAGCACGTGGTTCCATGGGCTCCAGATTCATGCTCATTAATGAAGTAGCTTTAGGTAGAACCAAGGTAGGTTACTATATCCCTCACTAACCCACACAAGTTGTCACTCGGTGTAAATATAACACAGTTGCAAATACTTTGATAAAGGGCTACCTTTCTTCATAATTATATTTCATATGTTTTTGTTGGTAGAGATACAGATACTTCGAAAAAGGACTAACAGCTGCTCCAGAAGGTTATCATAGTACTCATGGTGTTGCAGAATCCAACCAAGAGACATCAGATTTCAAGGTATAACTTAAAGTGAGAAGCTTTATTTCAATAACCCATGTCGCATGGCTCTCAACCTTTAAAACCAGTTAGAAAGTGCATTTAAAAAAATGAAAATATAATATGAAATAAATGGGAATTAACAGTGGTTCTAGAGTGGCTCTTCCATTGGATTCCAGTTGGAATTTAGAAGTTAATTTTTATGGAGGGAGAACCTAGAGAAAAACCTTTGAAGTACAGGAGAGACCCAACAAGCTACTTTACTTACATAGGAGGCTGAATTCAGGAATGGACATAGGTCGGCTTGGTGAGAGGCGAGCCCTCACAACCTGTAGTTCCCTAAATTAATTAATGTTGTCTGTAATGTTGACAGGATGATGAATTTGTTATCTACAACACTAACCAGCAAAGAATGAGGTAAGTATTAAGGCAGGTTATAATTAGTTTAATATCTTAAGGGGGTCTTGCCTATAACAGACTCGGTTGCTATGGATGGATTTAAATGTTCAAAAAGGGTTTCTTACATTTTAAAACCTCAATCATTATATAAAACCAAATGCTGACGGATCATTTTCAAAGTGCAATGATGTCATCACTAGTACTTAACCTATGACATCATTATTTTGTCTCAGTTTAAACCCAAAATATATCTGGGCTGATCTAAGTCAAAACATGAATAACTCACAAATAGACAGACAGACAGACAGACAGACAGACAGACAGACAGATAGATAGATAGATAGATAGATTCCTTTATTTAAACACGGACGTCTCATCAGTAAAAATACATAAATATAAAAATGCAAACAAAATTAAATACAATGAATTACAAAAACAAATTTAAATAACTGCTTTCCATGAGTGCCGTGTGAAGCTTAGTCCTGGTTCGTAGAAGAAATACTTTTTGCAACCAGACTTGAAGGCCTTTAGGGACTTGGCCGTTCTTAATTCGGTCGGCAATTTAAACCATTCCATAAGGAGGCTCCTGAATAGCTAAAACTTTTTTTCAAAGAATTTGTTTGTGGCAACGGGAGGGCAAGCTTTCCAACAGTGTCCCTCAGAGAATAACTATTAATGCTAGAACTATTTACAATTTTCGCATAAAGATAACCAGGAGCTAAGTTATGTACTGATTTATAGACCATACCAGTAGCTAAACGCATTTGTCATTCGGTCTCGAGTTTAGGCCTTCAAAATGCTAGAGTACAAACACTATAAGTGTGTAACATAAATACCACTAAATACTGCTAAATTATGCTAATCCTGTTGTTTTCTATTGTTTAATTTTTAGTGTTTGCACTCTATCACCATCAGAATCATAACTTGAATGTTTAACGATACGAGCAGCACGATTCTGAAGCTTTTGAAGCTTGGTGGCCGAAGACTTGCCATAGTTTCCCCAAACCTCATTACAATAATCAAAATTAGGTTGAATCAGGGAATTCTAAATAATTATTAATTTTCGAAAGGAACAAAACAACAAGGAAAGCTTTAAAGCCCCAATACTGGAAGCAATTTTTTTGTAAAGCTTGTCAATTTGTTCCTTCCAAGAAAGGTTTTGATCAATGATCACACCTAAGGCCTTAGTAGAAGGTACCTATTTGAAAGACGAGCCATTGATCACTGAAAGAATATCTGGGCTAATCAAAGTCGGGGCAGGCTAACTCAGATCAAATTGGATTAATTAACAATTATAATTAACAACTTTTAAATCCTAATAAGGCTTTTGCCTGATTTTTTTTGTTTTCTTTTATTAGGTACCTTGTGGAATTTAGCCTGGATGGAGAGTATGTACGCAAGCGTCATATTGATTTTGCTCTTATGTCCAACCTTGAACAAGAAGATGAACCATTAGCACTGACACAACCTGATGAAGGTACTACAGATGAAAATTTCCTTCGTGCGTTTTACTGCTTTGAAAGATTTTCACTTTTATTGCCTGTACTTTTGCCACAACCTGTTACATTAACCAATGGTTATAATGGTTATACTCCTCATGGTTATAAATTGCGCGGCAGGATTATTGCTGCCATTCTGAATTTCAATTTATCACTATAAAAAATACCAAAACTCTGATTTTTCACCCCTAAGAGGTATGTCGAGCATACCCGATACTTTTAGCCTGGGGTATCTTCCCATTTGTGGAGGAAGGAAAACCGGAGAACCTGGAAAAAAAACCTCGAAGCACAGGAGAGAACCAACAAACAACTTTACTCACATATGACCCCGAGCTTGGTGGGGATCGAACGCGGGTCGCATGATGAGAGGCGAGCGAACTTACCGCTACACCGCTTTAGTAAATATTATGCTTATACTTCAAATCTAGATATGTCAGTCATCTTTCGTTTTCTTTTCTCACCTTCCTATTTGTTTGTTTGTTTGTTTGACTATCGCTTTCAACTGTTTGTTTTTTGTTCATTTATCATTCATTAATTCATTCCATTTTTCAAACAGACATAGATCTGTCTGATGTGACATCAATAGTAGACCCTCTGTCTAAAGTAAAGGCAGGTCTTAAGGGCAGTGGTGATCAACCAGTACCTCTACAAGCTGTCCATGTTAGAGCAAAACTACTGGATCTTGTTGCACAGGTAACAATCTAACTATCCCTTGTGGGGGAGTGAGGGGTGTGTGCACATTAGAGCAAAACTACTGGATCTTGTTGCACAGGTAACAATCTAACTATCCCTTGTGGGGGAGGGAGGGGTTTGTGCACATTAGAGCAAAACAACTGGATCTTGTTGCACAGGTAACAATCTAACTATCCCTTGTGGGGGAGGGAGGGGTTTGTGCACATTAGAGCAAAACTACGATCTTGTGGTTCCGGTAACAAATTATAACCATTTGATTCACCGAAAGTGGATATCCTGTCTGACAACTTAATTTCACTTTTTCATCATCTTTCTCACAATTCTTTTGCTATCCAAGGTGGTTGTATTACAATCCTACAAGAACAACAGTACTCTTTCTATTGAAGCAAAATATGTCTTCCCCTTGGACGATAAGGCTGCAGGTATTTCAACTACTCTAGCAATGCAGAATGAATGAACGATTCGCATTTGATGAATACATTTTGTTCTCTTTAATGTGATAATGTGACGTGTTTTTTTTCTACTATCTTGCACTTTATTAACTTTACTACTGTTTTGTCTTTTACTCCAACGAAGGACTAACTTCCAGAACGTTAGTCCCGTTTCCTTTTCCAAACTTTTTACACAGGGTTTAAGTTTGCTTCTTATCAATTTGTGACAATCCCAACTATGAACCCCTAGTCATTATCCGTTTTGCTTCATAATTGATTGACAAAAACTTTTCCTTTCTGCCTTTTCATCAGTATGCGGTTTTGAGGCCTTTATTAATGGTAAACACATTATTGGTGAAGTCAAAGAAAAAGAACAGGCCCGCAAGGAATACCGGGAAGCCATCAGCCAGGGTCATGGGGCCTACTTGATGGACGAAGAAACACCGGTGAGGAGACTGAATTGTACCCAATGACATTTTGACACTAGAACCCCTTTGCCTAGACGTGCAATTTATCATGTTTACTAAGAAAGTAAATGTTTGTTTTCTGCGAACATATAGCAATATTTCGTGAATACACTTTTGGAAGACTAGCAGACACTGTATTAAGGACGTTCATGTGCATTGTTCGCGCGCATCCTGTCTACGCATGAATGAGTGAGCGCGCGCTCATCGTAATGACGTCATTCCAATGTTTTGATAAGCAAAATAACATGAAAACGTCTTTAATCCCTTAAAGAGGCTTTACAACATCACGTGATGGCAGCCATGACAGGAGGCACAACAATGGAGTCGTACTCCCCTGTGAAACAGAATTCTTTCTCATGTAAATCAGATTAGACCAGATTCAATTGTTTCTACCTCCTGTCATGGCTGCCATCACGTGATGGTGCAGAGCCTCTATAGCTCTAAAACTAAGTCGGGGACCTCCCTTTTTCATTTCATTTTTTGAAAGAACTTTATAATACCCAACCTTAGAGGGAAGATGAAAATAATCTGGCGATACACATTTTATGCATAATAAGCCTGAAGCGAGATAACGGTTAACCCCCGACTCTATACCATAATAGTTTTTGAAATTCTTTCATATTAAAATTTTTGATTCCTTAGAGAATACAGGAACAATAGTCATAATTAAAGAACAAAAGCAATGTGAAAAGGATTATGGTCTAGAGATGGGGGTAAAACGTCATCTCGCTTCAGGCTTATTGGAATAGAAGTTCATGTAACGTGAAGGCTCCAAGTCCACTTTTGTTGTAATATCATTTTATATTTCTAACTTTTTAACACAAATTTTAAAAGCGAACTAACTATTTCATTATTTTCTAAAATTCTGAAATTATTTTATCAGTAAAATATGGCTTGTTTTTGACAGCTTTCCATGCATGTCTACGTTGTTCGCGCGTCAGTTTTTACCGTAAAAAGGACGAACTTCCACGCATTCTGACGGCTTAACAAAATATGATGATGGAAACTTTAGTCTTCTACGCAGCTGCTATTAGTGTCGTCACGCAACGCTTTTTCCCCTGTGTTGGAGAGTGAGCGTTGTGTGACGACACATGAACCTCAAGCATAATGACATTTCATACCTACACTACCACAATCCCTTTCGGTAGCTTTGTTGGTATTCTCAAATTAGTTTGAATTCATTGAATATAAACAAATTTTGAAAAGGATTGTGTTGTTTTTGGTATAAAGTGTTGTTTCGTTGTGTTGTTGTGTTGTGTTGTTTTTGGTATAAAGTGTCTTAGATAGGGTAGAATCTATTGAGAGAATATTAGCCGCTTAAGTTTCAAGAACTTGTACGTTTTGTCATTTCGTAAAACACATTTGGTCTGGCAAGTTTAAAAGTCAAATTTGCATTGAATTTTACCAAGAGAGCATAAATAAGAGAGGGAAACTTCTTAATAACGCGCGCGCCATGTATATTCCCGCTTAGGCTATTTTTAGTAACCGGATGCAGTTACAATTTCGCCTTTCCCTATTCTCGTGCGTCATCAACTTGCGCGCGTGTGCTCTTTCCGTTCCGTGTTTAGTGATCAAAACAATAAATAGAAGTTTCCCTCTCTCATTTATGCTCTCTTGGTTTTACTAGAAGAGGTTTTGGACTGCTTTGCATACGCACTTATAGCCTACGCTAACGTTTTTCATCACAATCGTGTCGAAAATAGCATCTCGTGTTTGCAGTCATGTGCGCAACATCTTTTGAAGGGGTTTTCAGTGACGCAGTTCGTTTCTGTGGGCAACGACATCCAGAGCGGATTCATTCATTTTATTTCATTTGGGTATTTCATTTTATTATTTTATTTTATTTCGATGCCCCATTCCGATACCTTTATTAATTCATCCATCCTTTTCGCTGCAAGGACGTGTTTACCGTCAGTGTTGGCAATCTCCCTCCCAATGCAAGTGTCCTGATCAAAATCACCCACATAGTAGAGCTGGCCGTGGAGGGTGAAAACGTCTCCTTCAGTCTACCAGGCAGCGTGGCACCATGGAAACGGAGTCAGGCTCTTGATAGCATCACACAGGTACCTTACACTCAACTCTAGTTCCCTTATTAACTTCGAAATATTCATTGGGCTTTTGGCTTCCATCAATCAATAGTTCTCTAAGGCCTATGTCGGACTGATGTCTTAGCGAATCTATTAAACATGGCACTTTGTTAGGCCTAACCCAAACGTGGAACTGACCATGAATGAATTTAGTCCTGTCGAAAACTATTAATTTGGAAATAGGCTTATGATTAGTACGACGTTTGCCGCAATTAAGTTCGACCATAGGTTAGAGTCACAACTCAAAGCAAACATTTTCAACAAAATAATTTGTGGAGTATTTTTTGTTGCCCAGTACTTTGTAAAAATGTTATTGTTACTTCTTATCATAGTTAATGGAGTGGAATGGTTTGGAAACTTGCGCGAGTGAATTAAGATCTAAATTGGTTCGACGCTTGCCGCCACGTGGGCCCTTAGTCGCCCTATCGACGAACCTATGTTGAATAGATTCGGTGCGAAGTTAGTCCGACGCTTGCCATAGGCCTAACTCAGACTGTTGGAAATTTGATGGACAGAAGGCTGAACGCGAGATAGCGTGCTGCATCTGGTATTGATTTCTAGGTCTCAGTAACATGAAAGGAGCTCTAAACGGTATTACATTGAAAAAATAATTGCATGTCGTACCGTCTACGTGTGCTGTAAGTCAGTTCTGTAGGTTTCCCACTCATAGGCTATCCATTGTTATGGGAAGCCATTTCAGTGATGTATTGATTGTGTTCTTCTGCAGACAGATGTTCATACTGTTAGAGTCGAGGAGGAGACGTAAGTTATGTAACGCCCACTAACGTTATTGTCTCATGAGATTTTCCAAGGTTTTTAGCCTATTGAATACAGTGTAGTCCATACACCAAAAATGATTTCTGAACATTGTGGCCTATTCTATTGCTAACTACCTACCATACAAGGCTAGATATTTGCGCTCGTAATTCAGTGTCGTGCACCTATTTCAAAAACGTTGTCATCGCCAAAGGCAGAAATGATTTCTTCGACTTCAAACGACGTTGAATTATAGTCTCAACGCTAAAGGCGCGATTACACGGAGCAATTTTCTCTGCAACTAGTCTCGCAACGGCGTTGCGGCACAAGTTACATGGAGTATTGCAGCGTGTAACCTACAGCGTAATTTGAAAACTGTTGCGAGACAAGTTGCAGCAATCGTTGCAATCGTTGCGTCTCCGTTTCACCGCGTAAACACTCTTTCAACTTGTGTCGCAACCCTGTTGCTAGACGAGTTGCAAAGAAAATTATTCCGCGTAATGGAAGGTCCATGTTCCGCCGTAAGGTCTATGTTCTTGACAAGAATAAGTAAGAAGAAACACAAGTCATTCCAGCTATTCCTGGGTCTTGAAATGGCCTATCTCTTATTGCTTTTCGCCTATCGTCTTTGGCGATGACAGCGTGTATACGGTTTGTCACAGCTCACCTTACAAAGCTGAGACCGCTAAGGATCATGAGGAACATTTTTTATCCAAGTAAACGGTCTAAGAGTAGTAAAGAGACTACAGTTCATATAGTATGCGCAACACTCATTGGACTAAAGTTTTTTGGTAAACATGTTTCTGAAGGTTTCGGTTGTTATTAAAGTTGTTTGTACGTTTGTAGGAATACTACTATACAGGTTGCCATAGAGATGCCATTTGACATACGATCCATTCAGTCTCCAACACATCCAATTAGAATAAAGGTAATGTTTCTATCATCTTTATTTGTACAACTGTTCCCCGATGGAAGGCATGAGTACCCTACATTTCATATTCCGGCTTGGTTACCAGCGTGGTTGGTCCTTGTGGTGTTGTAGTTAACACATCGGACTAGAATACCGAAGACGTGGGTTTGATTCCCGCCAAGGGCATTTGATATTTTTCTCTTATTCTCTCTATTTCATTGCACACACCGAACGCATAATTTATTACTACTATAACATATTACATTGCATTGTATTGCTGGTTTTCACAACTGCCATCTTGGATTTGTTACTAGATTTTGTTATATCAATCAACCTAGTTGCCATGTCTTTTGTTATTTCATTCTCCTGAGAATGATTGACAAACAGCAACATGCAAAACATTGCACCATCCCTTATGAGGTTGCAGCACATTTTAAAACTTTGTTGTGTTTTTATTTTTACTATGTTAGCGAACGGCGACCAAAGCTGTCGTTGAACTGGAACCAGGTCACGTGATGGGCGATGGTTTTCAACTCATCATTGGATTGGCTGAAATTCACGTCCCAAGAATGTGGGTGGAGAGTCACGAGACAAAGCATGATAGCGAGGTCAGTACGGACATGACCCTTGGTCATTATTAATATGCATAAATTAGCATTAAATTTTTTTTTTTTTTGATTGCTGTAGTTGTATTGCTGGGTTTTAATCAGCTGATAAAATTGAGTCTTCTTATCTCATTATCTGCTACAAATAGTGGTCAAACACTGAACACCGTTGATTTGACGGCTGATGAACATACCGCAAGGGACAGGAAGTGAAATTAAGGGAATCGTGCAATTAAATTTTATTATATATCTTATTATATATTTTATTA